GGCATTACAAAGAGCTCCGTAGATAACAGAACCAACCCCCTTCCAACATGGCCGCATCGGCTACACCTGATGAGATGCCCACTTGCAATGTCCAAGGTCTGTGCCTCACACCCACTGTCAAGAATTAATGATCCTCAGTGTTTACAGTCAAAGTTTTAAAAATGTTCTTTCATCTAAACATAGACATGCTCAATCACTGTGTTATTTCTGAACTCAAAAGTACAAATGCTCTGAGTGATTGTCGACAACATGGAGTGAGTACAAATAATCCAGCTCTAAGAGAAGAAATATTCTTGTGATGAGAATTTATTAATCATAAAATAATTCATGTGTGGCCACTGGATGAACACAGGGTGTCACCAGCATCAGCTCTGTATGTACCAGGATGTCAAGATATGCCACAGTGGAAAAGCAGACCCAGGTGACAGGCAGCAGCTGGCCCCGTGCGATGTTTGTGTTTAATACAGTATAATTCTCCTGTTAAATGTTCCCTATCCCTCTTTTCACCATATGAACACTAGGGTATGTACTTCAGAGATGTTGCCATAATTCTGTCTCGTAGCCCATTTTCCCTTAACTTTCCAGCTCAGGCTTTTAAGTACCTCTGAGTTATTTCTGTCTCTTAGTCCATCAATTCAAAGAGAAATGTCTGAAGATCAGCTGTGAGTGAACACGTAATTAAAGCTACCACATTCCAATAGCATAAGTCATTTCAGAAGTAGCCATGGTCCTGCATGAGACCAGAAGGCCCCCAAAAGACTTCTAGGAAACTAGAACTGACTAGTGGGCCAGGAGAGGGGAGATGACCTACCATTAAAGAGAAGGATAGAAAGCTGGGCGCTGGTTGGACAAAGTCACCAGGAGTTCAGCAAAGGGGAAAAATACACAATTATTAAACTGAGTTTGAAGGCTAAACCATTTATTAGAGATTGCTGATTTAAACATACAAAGCTTTGACACGTGTATTTTTCTGAGCCTTGAAAAACATCTACAGTAGAGACTAAGAAGGAGGGTCAGCTGAGGGGGAATCAATGAACACTCAGCAATCCCACAGAGGTCACCAGAGTTGGCATCAACATCTTTCCACATTAAGGTTCAAATCACAAGCAATTGCTAACCATGAGAGGACTCCCACTTTAACATTTTTCTAGAGATGATTAAGTAGCTCAATTAACAAAGTGTCAGGATAATGGCCTGAGTCTATTCTCTGTTATTATTGAGTACCCACTATTTTTTGGTAAGCCTTGCTGGAGGGTTTTAAACCAAAGCACTTAACGATATTGAAAAAAGACAGGAACCCAGTCGGTGTAAATCAGAGATTCTCATCCGTGATGACCAGGTTGTCATTGACTGAAGGGTCTAACGCATTCTATGAACCGCATTAAACACTTTGTATGAAATTTCCCCCTTACCCACAAGAGCCCAAGGAGGTAGATATTATTTCTTCCACTTAATAATTTGATATTATCTTGATCCTACAGAGCACTGAGATGGATGATATGTTTCAGAATGGTAGGAAGAGCATGGGAAGAAGAAGGCCTGTCCAAGTTCTTCTGGCCATAAGCAGCAAAGAAGCAGCTACCAAATGACTGAAGGGTGTTACGTCTGTTGACAGTCAGCAGGCTAAAGAAATGTGAGGAAGACCAAAAAAAGTATAAACAGTTCATAAGGAAATCAGGAAACACAGGCATAAAGAACCAGCGAACATTCCAAGTCGAAAAAAAAAAACTTAAAGGAAAAATAAAAGCATAAAACTGTGACATTTGTTTTTGTATCTTTGGCACAAAGTTCTTAGTAGGAACTCAGGAAATGTTGAAATATCGAATAAAGAATGAATCAGTCAGCCAATGAACCAAATGTGAGATTGCGTGCTACTGATTTCAAGAATCAAAAAAGTCTGGAGAAAAAAATGAATAATAGATTCGGATGGAAGCAAGACTTCTTGAATAAAGTGAGCCTAGAAGAATTGGAAATATTTGAATTGTCGTGAAGGAAAGCTGAGCAGGAGGGAAGGAGGACACGCAGGCCACAGCCTCTTCCCCGGCCCCCCTCAGCCCAGCCCCGCTCAGCCCAGCCCCCCTCAGCCCAGCCCTTGGCCTTGCCCACGCCTGCTGTTTCCTAGGTTTTTGCTCTTGGCTTATCTGCTCTGCTCTTATTTGCCCTGTGCTTGAGCTCTGTCCAGCTAGTTCTCAGAATGCCTTGAAGTTGGCATCTTTGGATTAGTCGGGAATGCCTCTGTCCTTTGGTGTGGAGTGGAAAAAGAAACAGCATTTGTCCTATGGATGAGTCTAGGCTTTTGCAAGCAAGGCAGTAAATTATTCTAAATGAGGCAGCAATTATGACCAGTATCTCCCACTCCCAAATAGCTGTGAAGAGGGCTTCCCATGGAAATTTTGGCCTTTGGGAGACTCTCTCATGGCTGGCAGAAAGACACGCCTAGCAGGTCCTCACAACAACCTTCCCATTCCTCTCATGCCTCAGCCCCCAGATCGGGGCCAATATAAACCCAGCTTCCTCAGACTCTGGCCTCTGGGGCTCAACACAAAACCTGAAGTTCCTCCAACGCTGAGATTCTGCTCCCAGGCGTCAGAGAGGCATCTTCCAGCTCAGGTTTCCTGCCTTGCGTCCAGTCTGGCTTCTGCCAGAGATTTCTGGAGTCGGAATCATTTTGTCACTCACCTCATGATAGGTAAAGACTTTCCTCAGATTGGAGCCAAGAACTGGTGGAATGTTTAGAAAACTCCCTGTCTCTGGTTGTGGGGGAAATGGTTGAGTGTGACTTCCTTCATAGAGCTGATGCTTTTTTGACTCTGAAAAGGGCTCCTACTACCATATCATTGTGTTCCCGAGGTTTGTCCTTTCTGATTCTGTTTGTCACAAATAATAGGAGACACCAGGAGCTGGGCTCGGTGGCAGGCCTGCACTTCTAACATGAAGCTCAGTTTTGCAGTGAAAAAAGTGGTTTCCCTGTGTGCAGGGCTGGGAGACGGCTTCTGCTGGTGACTGCTCCCCCCCACACCCCACCCCCGCCCAAACCAGCAGCCCTGTCCTTGATGGAAAAGACGAGCTGCTGCTCTGTTATCTCATGAGAGAGACAACCGCAAACCCTATCAGGGTACAGCGGCTCCTATCTTCAAAACAGTACTCCAAGCCTTCCAGAGCGAGGAAGTGCCCAGCGGAGTCTAAGAAAGAAGTGAAGGGGGATGGACGGAGCATGGAAGTTTAACCAGGCTGAGGAGGAGTCTGAGGGAGGGCCAAAGGTCAAGGTTCCATCCCCCACCGATCCAGCCTGGAGTAAGAGACTTTCTTGTGAGGGCTGAACATATTCCCCTCCCCACCCCCAGGAGTTCCAAAAACCTAGGTCTATGGATCCAACGTTTTGATGGCAACCAGTCTTGACTTTTTAACCCCACCTAAAACACGAACAGAAACAAAACGACAATGCAAAAAAAGGCCATGTGGGTCAGCAGGAAACATTCTTGATTACCAAGATCACAGCGTAAGATCAGCCACGTGTGCTGATTATACAACTCTGAGTAATTTTACTTCCTGTGGAGGACACTTTCTCCTGGCTAAAGTGAAAAAAAAAACCCAAAGTCCCAGCCCTGGAGAGGCCTGCTCTCCCCTGAAGTTACCAGCGGCCCACGTGAAAGCCTCCAGGATGTGCCAGCCCTTCACCGAAGAAGGAGCAGGTTCGGGACCTGGCACCGTGTAGCCGAGTGGCATTGCTCCCAGAACGCTCGTCCAATAAAGAGACATTGTGGGATCTGGACCCTTCAGTGCACAGGACAAACGACTCAAATGAAAAGCACAATGCGTGTGAGTGGGACCAGAAACTTGAATGGCGTGGTAATCACTTCCTTAGTGTGGATCTCATTATTTCCCACGGAACTTTATTCTGTAATTCAGTCCTTGCCTGTGTAATAGTGCAGATTTCCATTTATCGGTTGATAAGCGAGAATGATTACTGTGATGACCACTAAGCAGCATAGGTTACTGGCATTGGTGGGAAGAGAAGGAGGAAATTGTTAGGGGAGGTGGGAAGGGGGTGGCATGCAGCAGGAAGAGACAAAAACACCTGAAAAGAAGAGGAAGTGATGATTCCCTGTGTGTGATCAGCACAACTACAGCCGGCTACTGGGGAATCTGAGACTGTGGCTAATGTGTGAGAAACTAAATCAGGCCTGGGGCTTCAAAACAGCTACCATTTCTGTGTGGGAATGAGGGACGAGGCACAAAGTAGGTCTGGAGGAGGGGGAAGGTCCAGGCTAAGGGCACCTCCAGGGCGGCTGCCACCCAATTGTGAGCTCCAGGTCCCAGGGGCCATAGAGCTAGTGCTCAGATCCAAACGTGGAGGGCCTGGGAGGAGTCGAGGTGCTAATTCAGGCTGAACCATAGTTTCCATCCCAGTGACCTGGAGTGACTCTTTATACAACGGACAGCAACACTACAAAAATAAAAAATATATATATGCCATTCTTAGCTTTCTCGAAATGAATAAACAGGATGGGACAGTAGAATTAGACTCCGTAGACCAAATGGAAAATATTCTTTCAGCTGGACAAATTTACCGTAGTCCATGTTCCTTCATTTTAGGGCCAGGATTTTCTAACGCTAAGCCAATTATATTTTTAGCTAATCAGTTTTGACCAGAAACATGATCTGTCTCAAATAACTCTCTACATAACTAGCCATGGACATATATCTATATACAGGTACCATTTTAATCAAAACATCCCCGTATCTTAGGAAAAATATAAATATTTAACCAAAAAGGCCATTTGATTTAATGTCCAATTTTCATTTCCACATGCGACTATTTGGCAGACACAGTTCTACCACTCTAAGTAACCTACAATGATGGTAGATTCTTTTAAATACGTGTCAGTGGCTTCTGTCACTGATGACATTATGCCTTTGCAGTGGGTGGATTGTATCTGGTCAAAAATACAAATAAATTATTTCATCCAGCATCAAGTTCTCTCGCGTTATCAACTCACCAGAATTAAGCAAAATGATAGATTTGAGGCACACAAACTCCTCTCCCTGCAGATTCATCATACGGAACCGAGACGATGTGGCCAGCAACATGTCAAAGATCTCCACCATGCCCTCTACACATTTCCCCTGGTTCCTACGAAAACACAGCCCCCAAAAAAAGGTGTTAAAGGACAGAAAGCTTCCACAAGACACCATAAAGTCATAAAAATCTACTGCCTCCAAATTGGTAACGAAACATCAGCCCCTTCTCTTCACGGAGCATGAACATTCATTTGAATTCTAGAAGGCAAGACAAAAAAACTGATTTTCCATCCGTAAAGTATTCTCATTTCAAATTCTCAGGAGAGGTGTCCTGTTCCATCCCCATGTCTGCTGTGTTAAACATACGCAGTTCTTCAACCTATGGTTAATCGAAAATGATTAGGATTTAGGTAAATGGTTTTTCTAATACATGCTTATCAGTCCATCTCTGTATTCTTGACAGTTAATGGAAACAAAAACAGGGCCTCTACTCTCAAGATGCTCATGGCCTTCAACTAACATAACATGTTCTAACAGACAGGCTTCAAGATGATTCTGAAGTACAAGAAAAACTTTGATAACTGCAGAAGTTGGGCTGGGTCCACGGATGTTGTAAGGATATTCCTAAGAGGTGGCATCTGAGTTTACACTTTTAGGGAATGTAGTTTGCATCATGCAGAGGTATTAACACATCCCTGGAAGAGGACCCTACACACGGAGAGAAAGAGCAGCAATAAAGAATGTGGAAGACCGCGTTGCAGGTCAGGAGGCAGGAGATGAATCTGAGAAATCAGGAAAAGCTCTGGGGACGAAGGGCGTCCTACATCATGATAAAAAGTTCACACTTTTTTCCTCGGCATCAAGAGTTTGACGTTAGTAGTTGCAAATATTAAATAAGCAAACCTAAGGTTTATAACATGTAATATTTTATTTTTTATTAGATCATAACTGCGTACATTGTTGCATTTATGGGGTACCATGTGCTGATTTTATATACAATTTGGAATGTTTACATCAAACTGGTTAACATAGCCTTCACCTCACTTATTTACGTGCTGTGTTTAGACATTTATACTCTACTCTTAATGTATTTGTCATGTACCCCTGCAAGTAGAGGCACTACAGAATTTCAATGAGATACTACATTCGAATGGAATTTGATTTTTGCTCACAAGTTAAATGTGAGGAATGATGTGTTTGAGGAGATGGGGGGAGTTAAAATAGCCTATGCCTATGCAAAACACATTTGTGAAATATATAAACATTTAAAACGTGAACGCTAAACCAATTGCTTTGTATCTCGTTTTGTTTTTAATTAATAGATCTTGGAGTACTTCTTCAACTGCTCTGAACAGCTGAAGAAAATGCTGTAACTTCTTTAATCATCTTTATTTAACTTTTATGGGTTGACATTTAGTTTGATTTCAAGTATTTTGCTGGTAGACACATCCCATTCCACAAGTATCCTTATGTTGATGTCTTTGAACACATTTACTGATAGCTATAGAAAAAACTCCTACACTTGGAATTGCTAGATCAAAGAATTTATGGCTTTTAAATTTTGATAAATAGTTCAAACATGACTTTCAAAGAGCTTACACCAACAGACTGTGGGTGGTACATATTGGCCTAAGTTTTCTCTGAGCTATCTGTTCTTTTATTTTGCCCATATTTTTCTGTCGGGCTACTGGTCATTTTCACATTGTGGAAATGAGACAGATAAGAAGAAAATCTGGTGCAACACAGTGGGATACATTCCCCAGAAAAGGTGGGGAACACGAGCCTCCTGCATCTAACGTCCATCTCCCCAGTTCAACCCATGTAAATATTGGAGCAATTATCATCGTATTCGCAGGTAAAATTAATGAGTTTATCTAGTGCTGTGACTGGAGTGTGGCACACAGCAGGGACTATATTGAAGTATTAGCTACCGAAATATTGACAAATAGAAAAGTACATGTCTATCAGGGGAGAAGTTGGCCTTTTAGCCTGAAATATCCAGCAAACAACAGCCGCATGCATTTATACTTTTTGCTTTGACTGTGAAAATATGGATTTGTGGAAGCTCTCAATAAGCAGAGGGGAAACGTCAAAAGCTCTACGGCTCAACAAGAGAACGACAGAGTGGTCACGCCCAAGGGTCAGTTGGCCTTAAGTGGGGAAAACACACTAGAAACGGGTATTTCTTGCCATGTAGTTGGATTTTTTTTGTAAGTAGTCCATCTACTTTCTAGTGAAAAAAAGTAAACAAGGATAGAGGAAAGTGTTTGGAGGATGAAGCTTTAAAAATAACAACTCCTAGCCAAAATAGAGAAATGGTCCTTTCTCAGTATAAAGTCTCTGTTTATTTAACAGCCTGCACACCGGCGGGGGGCTCTGTGTGGGAGGAAGCCTGCCTGCACCTGCTGCGTGCAGAAGTTCAGCTCGGAAACTGAGTCTTCACTATTCTCCCTTCCTCTTGTCCCTTTCCAACACTCTCCCACATTTTCCCAGAAGGAGCTCATGCTTGACTCTTCCAGCAAGAGTGTATTTTTCTCAGCTGCTTCTTGCTGGATTTCCTGTTATTTCTAACCAGCAATTATTACCTGTCGGCAGCACAATGCTTTCTCTGCAGCGCACGTTAGGAGCCACAGGCTGTGCCCGTGGTGGTGGGCACAGCACAGCTTTCAGCTCCATTCTCACTCTGTGTGTGTCTCTGCGGGTTTCCTGTAGGGGCTGACACATACACTGACTCTTCGTCATACGGATATTACGACAGGAGGACCCTCACGCCTGCCTCTCAGGCAAACATACGTGTTGCATGTTTTGGTGGGATGAACCTGAACTCTGAAGCCTTCTGGGGGATACTCATTGCAGCAAAGTGCAAATTTCTAAGCAGTGCTGTGAGAGGCTAGAAGTTGCTTATGCTGATGTCGCCATAAGAATAAAGTCCCTATTTTTTTTCCAGTGGGAACAACTCAGTTGAGCTAAACACTTCAGACAATCCACTATTTGTGTCATACATAAAAATTATTTACTTTGATGACCCCAGTGGTATTTTTACCAATATACAAAGTACTCCAATGTTGCTTAAATCACAGCAACTAGCTAATTATGTGGCCCTGTCCGTCCCTCACTAGCACTATTCCAAGGAGAAAGGTTTGCCATGTGATCTAGTACAAACAGTTTATCCACCTACAATCTGGTACAAACCTATGTGGACTTTGAAAATTAGATAGACACTTGTCTCCCGCCTGGTGCACAGGAACCCTTCATTGTCTACTGGGGTTATTACACATCATGGTCAGGGCTTCATTTCCAAGGCCCATCAACATATTTCATACTAACTTGAAGGAGCAAACCAGCTAAGAGCCTTCAGTGCAACTCCAGGAGGAGATGAATGATGGCATCAGAAATGGGGTGTTTCCTGAGAATCTGGAGGGAACATTATACAGCAAGACAAGATTAGTCTCAATCCACAAGATGCTCCTGAGGCTGAGAGACACGTGGGGGTTGGCCTAACAAGATTTATTTTTAAAAGAAGCCCAGCTTCAGTTATAGCTCAAGAGAAGTAGTTTACCAAGCAGACCAGCCTGAGCCCCCCACGGTGAGACGTGACCGCCTGCAGTGATGTCCTCCTCCGTAGATTGTACCAGTCTGCCTTTCAGAGCACCTCAAAATCCCCTAGTGGAAACTCCGTCCTGCCACTTACCCTCTGATCAAGTTCATTTGCACTTAAGTAATGGGGGAAGAAACAGAACGGGAAATAGCATGTGCTCGTGGCATGTCCTGGAAATTTCTCCAATAAAAGTGAAAGCCTGTTTTTCAGAAGCCCTAAGGCATCTCTTCCTCTACATAGGAAATAAAGAACTCTAATGAAGGTGTGCCGGCCAAACCTATGCTTGTGTCTCTTTAAAAATGTGCCTTACAAATGTGGTTACTCACTAGTGCCCCTTTGTATAAAAGGAAATTGATAAATGCAGAAAATCCATTTCTCATACACTGAGAAAACCCGAGAGATCAACATAAGGCATTTAATTTAGCCATCCTGAAGAAAAGTACAATATGGTCAGAGAAACAGGCTATAAATTAAGGTGCTGTTCAAAATCAATAACGGCAAGAATGGACATAGCTAAAGAGCTTCTGTACCTTTGATGCTACAAAATCTCTCAGAATGTACTCTCAAATGCTAGAGATGCATGAATATTTATATGATCAGGAGGTTTACATATAGAAGTCTTTGAAGTATGGAAGAAAGTCCTGAAGATGAGAAATTGTAAGGGATAATATCTTGAAAGATGCAAAATTTGAACCAAAAGTTGGACTCGGGTCTGGCTGCTAGGGTTCAAATCTGATGCCACTACTTACAAACTATGTGACCTTAAACCAATTCCTTAAACTCTGAGTGTCTGAAGGGGTGTATAGACAGAACCAGTCGCATTGGGCTGCAGGTTGAGTAGGTACAATTAAGCCATTGACATATAGTGGCTGTTTGATATAGCAGTCGGCCCATGTAGATTAATAAACTGGTAACTGGGAGTGGAGCATTCCCATACAATCCTTAATGCCAGACAGTACGGACACAGAGAGAGCAAGCGAGGGAGTCCTATTACAACCCTGCAAAGTATCAGGTCTGAAATAACTGGGAAGGTAGACCATGTGCCTGGGGCTGTGGTCGGAAAGAGTCACAGTGACGGTGTGCAGTGGACACTAAAGCCACCGTCACTATAGTATTACAGGAAGGAGGACAGCTCAGAGGAGGATTACATAGTTCTCAAGCAGAAATTAAAGGGAACAAAGAAAGACCAAAGATAAATGGTCTTATAAGTTTGAGAAAAAAAAAAAAAGTTTCTGGCTATGAAATGCAACTGAAAAAGGTTTTGAGTGTGAAAGGCCCAGTAAAACTTCTCAGGTTACAAAGCAACTCAGTCTTGTGCCAAATGGCTACACCAAGAGGGTGTTCTTCTTTCAAAGTTCCTTGTGTCAAACAGCCTGGAGGAAGTCACAGATAAATCGTGAGGCAGAGGCCACGGAACTAAGCTGCAGGGTCGGGCGTGGAGGGGAGGATGTGGAGAAAAGCGAACCCTTGCTCACTGTTGGTGGGAGTGTAAATTGGTAGAGCCATGATGAAAA